CGCCCGGCCTTTGTTTTGGTATAGTCTGAGCACTAATAAAATTTGGCACGGGTACCTATTTTAGCCGTGCCGTGCCGATAAATTGAATGTAGTGCAAACGGGGCTTATAGTGTGTTCTAATAAATTTAGCGTCTATTAAATAGCTTGACAAAGCTGAACGAGCCGTATTTATGGCAGAGTAAGATAAATGTTGGTCATATAAACAAACAAGAAAAGTCAACACATTATTCACAGAGGGTAGCATTGGATTAATTTGCCATTGGAGGCAAAACTCGGACCATTTTGCAAGTTAAACCTTTCTTACTTGTGAGTCGCTCGATAAATAATGACCTGACGCTAAACTCACGGATTTTATTTCTGATATTTTGCTTTCCATTAAGATTAACTTTGGCTCAGGTTTTTCCGTGTAGAGGCTTTGGAGAGAACATTCTCGGTCACTCTGAAGCTCCTGGGATGATCGATTATTAACATTAAAAGTCTCATAAACAATACATGAGTCGCCGAAATTGGAACCGCAATGATCATGGTGATTTTTTCTTGCAATACTTTCTGTAGGCATCTAGCAACTAAGCAAAAAGGACGTAAATCCTAACTTTTAGTGAAATTTACCCAACTCACCGAAAATGCATCCGCAAATGAGGCATACGGGTCTGGTTTCCACCAAATATAAACGTCAGTTTGGTTGGTTATCCGGCTAACAAAGAGATCAACATCGGGTTGATTAAAGTGCTCGCCAATCCTGTTAAAAACAGATGGATGTAAAGTCCATTCTAATGCCGCATTCAATTCTCGTGAAAGTTTATCAGCAACAGTATTTTGTTTGCCCGGAGTGAACGCGACGGATAACCAATTATTGCGAGCTATGGCTCATAGCCAAATATCTTTATCAACATTGTTACACCCTATAGATTTGCAACCCCCCATTGCATTTATATATGTGACAGCTGTTGTATTATTTGATTGAATTCTGATATGCGTGTTACAGGTGCTATCAAGAAGTGATGTTAGCCCAAACATTATGGCAGAAGTTCTAAGACGTTAATATGAATTTCATTTCGTGTGCGGACCACAGCCCTTGTGTCCTAGTTTCGTTAACAACGGCTCCCCAACCTATATGTGAGGCATCAGTTGTGATAATAAGATGAGGGATACCATGATCAATAATCCTTGATGCCGTTGGTAGGGAAGAGACCCAGCACTTAATTTCATCGATACTGGCCTGTGATAGACATCATAATTTTTGTTCAAAATCACCATGTGAGTGTCGTAATGCTAGAGTCTTATCACGCACTAGTGCTCTATAGTATAACGGTTCAATTCTAGGGAATGCAGGGACAAGACATCCTATAATAGAACTTGACTGTCGAATAGTAACTTCGGAAAACTTTGATAGTTATACACAAAGAGTAGTAATTTTATAATTTTCTTGTCGTGAGCGAAACAGTAATGCATGATAGTGGAGTTTAATAAAAATCCCCAAAACTTCAAAGTTCGCGTTGGTTGAAATACCAACTTAGAATGATCTACTGCAAACCCAAGTTGGACAAATAACTGAGTTGCATCAAAAATAACATCTTTGCACAACCGGAGAGAATCTTCGATGTAAATGGAGTCAAGAATGTAACCGAGACAAGAGTGACCAAATTTTGATCACAGTGTGTTCGATATAGTCCCATTGGTGAAGCAGTAATAATTATTGATAAAGTTTCCCTCTCCAAGATAATTTAAGGTATTGGTATTTTGTATAGGTGAAACAGTCAGGTTTCATGAGTTTGATAGCTGTTTCCAAAGTGTCCATTTTGAACTTGCGTTAAGTGAAAGTCTTTTAAGGTTGAAAATCACTCAAATTTTTCATGGCTCCTTTTTAGGCCGAATAGAAATTGGGAAAAACCTCACCACACTCAGAATGCGTTTCCTCAATTATGATTTCAAATAAGAATTCAAAAACTTCTTTATCAATAGCCGAAAATTTGTATTTCGGATTAAAACTTGTTGGTGAGGTGTCGTAATCAAATTCAATTTTACAATTGGTTACACAACTGAAGACAAATACATCTAACGTAATTCCTTGCCATTGTCCAGCTACAAACGCTGGCTGTTCAGAAAGCAATTCAGTTATTTTAGCGAAAGTATTGACGTGTGGCGGAGCTGGTGCGATTAACTCTGATTCGGCTTGTTCTGGGTGAAACTGAACTTCGCGTCTGGTCTGCGCCGATACGAACCTCTGTCGCCGAAAAAAGACGGAAGGGTAGAGAGTCGTTGATTGTAATTCTTTCAGCTGTTGCCTCTCATTGAGGCTGTGCGACTTGTTCCTCTTGGTAGAAACGACGGGTTAGGGTGAAATCTCTGTCCACGTCCCCTACGGGAACCAAAGAGTTTTGTTCCGAGTTTATTAGCCTTCGCGACTTCATCAATTTCTTTACCCACATCATCCCCAAACAAGATTCAACTCTCTGTTGCCAGACAAAGCGAGAACAAGGGCAAAACTTCTCCCGTTGTTTTATTGCAAAATTGAGTAATAACATAAATTGAGGAGATAAATAATATTTGGCACTTTTTCATGGAACTGTGTGCTCTTCGGGTGGCTTGTTTACGTTGCTGCCTAACAGCCTTGTTGACATTTGGATCGACAAGTGAATCGCAATTCTGAGGTCGCAGATGCGATAATCAAGCTGTCACAGCCTCGCTGATGAGTTTCGCCAATTTCTTCTCAATCGTTGGCCCTTTTTTGTCTGCAGCAAGTTCGTCAAACGAACTCGAAGTGTTGGTGGTGTTCGGCTCATGCATTAAGATAATTCTGTATCATATCTGTGTCTTCTAGGCATGGCCCGATTGTGCTCGTAAAAAGCCAAAATGTTGCCCACTAAAACTAAAAAGTTGCTCTCTAAAAAGCATAAAAGTTGCTTAAAAGTTGCTCGAAACAGAGAAAAGTTGCTACTAAACTCAAAATATTGCTTGTGCCTATTAAGGCTACTAGCTTGTGCCTATTAAGGCTCGAGTTGCCTACCCTAATTATTCTAGGGTTTTTGTTCGATGACTGTGTTGTATATAATATTGAAATAAAATGTTCCTATCTCTTACACTCTCTTGTCGCTATTGTACTATTTTTGAACGCTTTTTCGTTGTTAGAGTGTGTGTTATTTCTCATTGAAAAGGCAAAAAAGTCCCGTTTACAACTGAGAACCTTAATTAAACAAGGCATTTCCTGCATTGTGGAAACACTGACTCTACCAAATAACTACTAAAAATAGGAAGCAGGCGGTATCATGTCTTATATTATGCTGTACCTATAGGGAGTGTACGTGTACATAAATAATATATTGCAGAAAATTAAGTTAGAAACGTTTCATGCTATCATGTTTAAGCATTTTAGTAAAAAGCGTAAAAGTTGCTGAGAAATAGCTTCAAAACAAGAACGTTGCTTCAAGTTGCTCGCACAAAAAAAGTTGCTCCAAAAGTAAAAAGTTGCTCAAAAGTTGCCGAGCACAATCGGGCCATGCCTAGTGTCTTCGGGCTCGATCTGTTGTTGTTGACTAGTTTGTTCATCAGGGTGATTACACGACTCAGTTCCGGCAACGTAATCTTCGAAGTGCTTTAACATATCTCGCATCTGTGACATCTTCTCGAACACCATGTTAGTTACAAACTTTAGCAACTTGTCTTTTAAAGCGGATAATGTACTTGTTTGATCGGTCGGGGACGGTTCTGCACATTAATGTTCATTTCTGCCCATAAATGAGAGCAGAGGGTAACGATAACTTTCTACCTTAAATTCAGTGGTGTAGCCAACCTCACAATTTAGTTCGACCTCGATCTGACCTCGGTTCAACCGCTATCAGACTGAGGTTTGACCTAGGTTTACCGTGTTTTTTGTTAGGTTATTTCTGGTCAGTACTGTAAGTGCTGTTAATTTCTAACAATTCCGGCCATGTCCATAGGACGTATGAATTAAACGTTGTTTTGATATCACAGCAAAAGAGCGCAATACTCAAGTTCAAATAACAATAAGAATGAGGTACAAGGCATTATTATCACCTCATGGGATTCTGACATAACCACAAGCGATGTCTATCAAAATTGCGTTTAAATTGCTTTTTCATATCCCCTCTATAGGAATGAAAGAGTAGGTCATAGCTTCCAGCTCAGATTTAGGGTAGCATTGCACACGATGAATTTGCCAATGAAGACAGACTTCGACAAAAAGAGAGACATTTCTTTGAACGATTAAGCTTTGCAGCATCTTGAGCGCGGTATTCGCGGAAATCAATTGCAAGTCTATCGCCTGTATTCAAAGACTCTCGCACACTCATTGATATAGAAATTCTGCTGTTGCTGATGAATGAGAAAATTTTTTAGTCCATAGAAATATCGAAGGTAAAACATTAAGAATCAAGCTGGATCGTATTCGACTGAGAATACCGGCATAGAAACGTTATGGACCATATCCACCATATCTTGCAAGAAGATTCACTTCTAGATCCCAGACGCACGACCGGGTCACTCGACAAATGGACGAGTTGGATATACCATTTTATCGGACAGCTGCGGGCCAGCGCTCGTTTCTATATAGATCTACCAAACTATGGAATGCTTTAGACAATAACATCAAGAATACTCTAAATATTAGAGTTTTTAAAAAATTAGTTAGAGGGACGCTACTCAAAGTTTTTCAGAACTCATCTTAGCAATAAATAGTTTTAACTTTTCATATGTAAATATAGATTACTTAATTAGTTATTTTCATTCTTTGTGTAAATATTTCTGAAAAGCCATCATGGAGAAATGTATCATTATTATATTATATTATATTATTATGAGAAGATTGAGAACTGACTCAATGCATGAGTTTGAGTGTGAGTGAACTTTTAGAATAAATTATTGATTGTATTTGTAGCCGCTGTCATGACTCTGTTCCCTTAAATCGCAATATCGCTGATTATATAGCTAACTTTGAGCCAGTTTTAATAATAATTACAATTCTGTATTATTGTTCACTGTAGATATTTATTTTGGACCGAGTTAAATGATGGAAAGGTAATGAGAAGACACTTGGCTACAAACAATGACAAACAAATATATGATTTAAACATAAATGATTATTACGATCTGGCTCTGGATTACAACAGGAAGCGAGTGTACGCGTACGAGGGAGTGGGAACAATTAATGTCATAATTGAAATGGATTACGATGGCCGTAAAAGCAATCAGACAACTAATTACGGTTCAGCTGATCATTTCGGAGGGATGTCAGTAGACGTTATTGGAGATTTTCTTTACTGGAAAGAAAGAATTTCACCCATTATCATAAAAATGAATGTCACCAGCAGAGATATATTTCGTTATATTCCGTTACCAAAAGGCTTCGACGTGAGAAAGCTTCTCGTCGTAGACAAAGATCGACAACCTGAAGGTAAGTTCGCACATTCTTGTAAATGGTAGTGTAAGGTTCACTTCTTGAATTCGCTTTTAGGTAAGGGACCAAACAGGAATTAGAATAAATCTTCCGTGGAAAAAATATTTTCCTCGCCCGCACACACGCATCATTTTGCAGTTTCATGCATATTAGCTTTTATTAAATGAAAACCCCTCAATTCATTTTGGTTTTTGTTTATACACACGGTAACAGATATCCGACAATTTAGATTTATTATAATGAATCTGAGCCATAGCCAAAGCATCTCACAATGTAGTTGTTATGATATACAATCGAGATGTATGGCTTGCGATTTTGTTGCATGTTTGCCCTTTTGAACATTACAGAAAATTTGCGGAATTGTTTAGGCACCGCGGATTAATTCAATCAGGATGCGCCAAAAAAAACACTGTTTTCGCAACGTATTCAGTCAAACTTTAATTATTTCTCAACAGTATGAGCAAAATATAAATGCAAAATACAAGACGAAAAAGCAGTACGAACACATATGCAATAAAAACTCCATTTGAGCAAAACAAGCATGAAATATCACAAAACGTTACCAACGTAAAAAAATGAAGCGTTTTTAATGGAACAGCCGATAACACTCATGAACCCTATATAAATATTTTCTGTAACATTTCTCGTTCTTAGGAAAAACACGTAAGATTCCATGTGAGAAAACTATATATGCCACTATGCCGCAATATATTTCGCAAAAATATACAGTATCCAATTCCAAAATATGCCTATCAATACAATAGAATGAAAAATACGATAATATATAAGAGAACTATACTAAGCACAGGCTTTTTCAGAAAATGCGCAAAATTTCATGAAAATATACGATGTTTCTATTTTCTCAATAGGAACATGCATCACAAAACTTCACGTCACTAACAACAAGAGCTCTCATTAAAGCACAAAAGATTGTCTTATCAATATATTTATGTCGTGTAATATTCCTCGTTGTTCTCAAAAGAATATGCATGGGATATCAGGGAACTATCCAAAGCACACGCGTTGTGAATAAAGTTCGAATTATACAAGGGCTGTACCAGTCTGCAAATAATTTCGGTTATATTAGGGAACGAAGGAAGAAATATATGACCATAACAGCGGTATGGCATACCAATCTGTGCTTCACATCACTTTTTAACCCAAGAACCCTGACAAATATAGGTATTACCCTCTTGAACTGACCTGTGTCCTGGACCTGCTGTGGCTTATTTAACCCTGCATGAACAATGGGTGTGGTAAAGGGCTCGGTGTCGATACCATAGGTCTGTAGTAGAACTGTCGAACCATCTTAAGTATTTTATCTAATGGAACAGATCCGTTGGCAGCTGCTAATGTTGCTGCTTCCCTTACTCCACGCGCTTTGAAGATTTTTGTACCAACCTGACCCAGCATTTGAAGAATCCACCAAGGAAGCGTTGCTGAACTGACTGGTTAGTGAGGTTTAATAAATGAAAGAAACAACTTATTGGGTTGGTCTCTTGAAGTTTCCTTAAATTCTGCCGTCGTAGGAATGTAATGTTTAAAACATGCCACTGGACATAACCTAAGGTCATCCGGAAAACAAGTATAAAATGCCGAAACGGTCTCATCCGGTCGAGGTGGTAAATAAAGTAAACGTTAGACCCTCTGGAGAAAGCTTGCAGTGGTTGAGGTCAAAATTAGAGAGGGGCGAGACTCTCTTTGGGCAAGGCAAGGCCACGAGATGTGAGATACGCCCAAATGTAGACGTGGACACATCGGATGAATTGAAGGGTCGGATGGATTTATCACGAGATGTTTGTTGTTTGGCAGGAGAGTCGGTTGTTCGACGAGACGGCTGATTAGTAAGGGCCACCAAAGCTGGGGTTGCCAATTGGCGCTATTAAGACGATCTCTATTTGGTTCGACATAACTTTATTGAGAACCAGAGGGATTAAATTGAATTATGGGAAGGCATATCCTGCAAGTCCTTTCCAGTTGACCGTGAAAGCATCTCAATGTTGGGCCTCTGGGTCTGGTCTCCAAGTGATGTAATTTTTCAGTTGTCGTGTTATTTGATCGAGAGGCGAAGTGGTCCGTTCGACAGTCTTTCAGGAACGGTCTCAAAATTTTTGGACCGACCATCAAGTCGCTGTTGTTCAGAAATTGTCTTGACTTGGGGTCTGATTGAATGTTGGTCTTTCCTGGAAAATGATGGGCTATGACAAAAAGGTCTCTCTGATTGCACCAATCCTAAAGTTGTAATGTCAGCTCTAGTAACTGTAACGAGTGGGTGCCGCCCTTGTTGTTTATATAGGGAGCGGGGATTGAATTGTCCATGTTCAATGACACCGTCCTTGCATGATTGTTCTTCAAGAGGGACTTCAGGCCGAGAATGGCAGCATTCAACTCGAGTATATTTATGTATAACAACCTCTCAGTGACTGACCATTTCCCGTTTGTATGATTGGTGCTGCTGACTGCTCCCCACCCCTGTTTCGAGGCATTGAGAAAAAAATGTTACATTCGGGCGGTAAGATTCTAGCAAACCCAACAGTTGAACTATGCCCCTTAATGTATGTTTCTCCGCTTTCAGCAATTGTTGACAGAGCCCCAGCGTTTTGTTTATCTTTTTCTCTGGTAGGGAGATGATCATTATGTTCGAGTTGATTATGAACCCCAGGAAATGGATTACTTGAGTCGGAGACAGGATGGGTTTCTCGAAATTTACTCTGAGGCCCATGGACTCCAATAACTGTGAATCGATTTGTCTCCTCCAGTGTTGCCCCGACGATAAACATATCGTCGAGGTAAACTATTAGCAGAAAGCCTTGTTTCCTGAAATAATTCGCAACCCGTTTCATTAACCGAGTGAAGATCATTGGAGCTTTATTGAGACTGAAAGGGAGAAATTTGAATTGATAGATTTCAGATTGCTATCAGACTTTGCTGCTGTTTGAAGCGGCTTGCTAATTTTGCGGTCGTTGGAAACGTGACTGGGAAAAAAACGAAAAAACCGACACGGCTTGTTTCAAGTTTGTATTTTCCTGACAAGGGAAAACTTCTGCTTGAATGTTTAAAGTCTTGGTTATATTATTGGGGGGTCGTGGGCACCAGGTTTTTTTGCTAAGCCCCACGATAATTCGGCTTCTTTAGATGGAATGGTGAGAAAGTCGGGTCCAAAAAGCAACCTTTTGGCATTTGGTTTGCCAAATCCACTTTTGATTTGTTAGTTGACGTTAATACCTTCTTGCGAGGTAGTATGGATAATTGCGTGTTAGCCTAACCTACGAGACATAGTGATTGCTCAACAAATTATTTGAGATATGTGGGAGTAACAGGAATGTAATTCTCAAAACGGTCATGCAATGTGGATACTGGACCTGTGATGTTTAACACGGCGCATTGGACCACTGCGAGTTCTTTATCTCGCTCCTGAACGAACTTTTTGTCCGGATAAGAAATATGAGATAACATTAGCGGATCTACAGTAGGAGCATCAAGTGCAACGACTTAGGGAGTAGCTTAGTCTTCTAAAATATCACAAATGTGATCAAAGGATAATTTCCTTTGAAAATTCTATTCCAGAAAGTCGTTAAACTCTCAGGATTGTGACCACGAGGTCGTAACGGATTCGGGGTCGTGAAAACGTGATTGACTCTCGGTGGATTTAGTATGTTCCATTGTTTGTTGATTTATCTCCACGTATATCCTCGGTATTGAGACAAGGTTTTTGATGTGTGGTTGTTCGTGGCGTAATAGTCTGTTCTGGTGGCTTAATAGCCTATTCTGGTGGCTTAATAGCCTGTTCTGGTGGCTTAATAGTCTGTTCTGGTGGCTTAATAGTCTGTTCTGGTGGCTTAATAGTCTGTTCAGGTGGCTTAATAGTTTGTTCTGGTGGCTTAATAGTCTGTTCTGGTGGCTTAATAGTCTGTTCTGGTGGCTTAATAGTTTGTTCTGGTGGCTTAATAGTCTGTTCTGGTGGCTTGATAGTCTGTTCTGGTGGCTTAATAGTTTGTTCTGGTGGCTTAATAGCCTGTTCTGGTGGCTTAATAGTCTGTTCTGGTGGCTTAATAGTTTGTTCTGGTGGCTTAATAGTCTGTTCTGGTGGCTTAATAGTCTGTTCTGGTGCCTTAGTCTGTTCTGGTGGCTTAATAGCCTGTTCTGGTGGCTTAATAGCCTGATCTGGTGGCTTAATAGCCTGTTCTGGTGGCTTAATAGTCTTTTCTGGTTGCCTAATAGCCTGTTCTGGTGGCTTTGTAGTCTGTTCTGGTGGCTTAATAGTCTGTTCTGGTGGCTTAATAGCCTGTTCTGGTGGCTTAATAGACTGTTCTGGTGGCTTAATAGTCTGTTCTGGTGGCTTGATAGCCTGTTCTGGTGGCTTAATAGTCTGTTCTGGTGGCTTAATAGCCTGTTCTGGTGGCTTAATAGCCTGATCTGGTGGCTTAATAGCCTGTTCTGGTGGCTTAATAGTCTTTTCTGGTTGCCTAATAGCCTGTTCTGGTGGCTTTGTAGTCTGTTCTGGTGGCTTAATAGCCTGTTCTGGTGGCTTAATAGCCTGTTCTGGTGGCTTAATAGTCTTTTCTGGTTGCCTAATAGCCTGTTCTGGTGGCTTTGTAGTCTGTTCTGGTGGCTTAATAGTCTGTTCTGGTGGCTTAATAGTCTGTTCAGGTGGCTTAATAGCCTGTTCTGGTGGCTTAATAGACTGTTCTGGTGGCTTAATAGTCTGTTCTGGTGGCTTGATAGCCTGTTCTGGTGGCTTAATAGTCTGTTCTGGTGGCTTAATAGTCTGTTCAGGTGGCTTAATAGCCTGTTCTGGTGGCTTAATAGTCTGTTCTGGTGGCTTGATAGCCTGTTCTGGTGGCTTAATAGTCTGTTCTGGTGGCTTAATAGTCTTTTCTGGTGGCTTGATAGCCTGATCTGGTTGCTTAATAGCCTGTTCTGGTGGCTTAATAGTCTTTTCTGGTGGCTTAATAGTTTGTTCTGGTGGCTTAATAATCTGTTATGGTGGCTTAATAGTCTGTTCTGGTGGCTTAATAGCCTGATCTGGTGGCTTAATAGTCTGTTCTGGTGGGTTAATAGTCTGTTCTTGTGGCCTAATAGCCTGTTCTGGTGGCTTAATAGTCTTTTCTGGTGGCTTAATAGCCTGTTCTGGTGGCTTTGTAGTCTGTTCTGGTGGCTTAATAGTCTGTTCAGGTGGCTTAATATCCTGTTCTGGTGGCTTAATAATCTGATCTGGTGGCTTAATAGTCTGTTCTAGTGGCTTAATTGTCTGTTTTGGTGGCTTAATAGTCTGTTCTTGTGGTTTAATAATCTGATCTGGTAGCTTAATAGTCTGATCTGTTTGCTTAATAGCTTGTTTTGGTGGCTTAGTAGGCTAAAAGTCCTCGCAGTTCAAGGAATTATCGTTTCCCGCCAAAATCGGAAGTGTGTCATTGTCCCGTTCGGGATCTGCTTGATTTTCAGAATAAGAATATGTGATATTTTTGCAAACAATGGAATGTTCAAGCTGGGAAATTATTTTATTACACACTTCCATGTTAGATTTGAGATCAGAAACTGTAGATGAGATAGTGCGAAGTTGCCAAAGCATTTCCTGGTTAACTTTGTTATGATTTGACTGATCAGTATCGTGCCAGGATTTTTAGACTTCCAAGCTCCATGGGTATAGTCGCGTGAATAAGATCTTTTTCACTTTTTGCTGATAAGACATGGTCTAAAATATATTTAAGTGTCTAGAGAGGTTGAACACAAAAAGGAAAGCGTAAAAAGATGAAGATATTTGCCTATCTGAAGCTTACCTGTTCGTGTGCTTTAGAAAAAGGTACAAAAGCCACAGCAGGTTCATAGGACAAATCAGTCCAGGGGGGTAATACCTATATTTCACAGGGTTCTTGGATTAAAAGTGATGTGAAGCACAGATTGTAATGCCATACCGCTTGTATTCTCGTATGTTTCGATCGGAGTTCCCAAAATATAATCCGTAAAATGTCACTACAATATATAGTATGCAAGTTATATCTATCAATGCGATAGTTATATGCCGGTATTCCCGTTCTCATGAAAAATACGAGCAATTTTTACAATTTAACTATGTTCAACACACGCACTCTTGATAACAATGCAATGTTTCTCGTTCTCACCGTTTTTAAGGTTGTGTACCTGTTATGAATGGACGGAGTCTGTTCACTGATACACGCCGTTGCTCGAAACATTTTTCTCTGTGGTCAGGATTCCGTTAATTGATTTGGCAAAGTTCTCATATATAAACATAAAAATCGAGTAAAGCCTAATGTTTTGACGTGGTAGAAAACTCTTTGATCTTTAGCTTCTGAAATCAAGTATTTTATTGGGCATATGACCAAGGAATGTAAAAATTTAACTTATTCTTAAAATTTCGCTAAAACTAAACAAAGATTTAAGTATGGTGCACTCCCTGATGTATGATGTAGAAATTAAGTGATACCGTAAACGGCATGATCATTAATGTCAAAGAGTTTCACCCTAAAAAAATCCATCCTGCTTCAATAACTGATTTCACAAAGTTTGTCTCACGAACAAGAAACTTCTATAAATCTGTTTAACTATGGACTTCGGATGTCAAACCGGTTCAATGTTTTGGTCAAATGACATCATGTCATTCTTATCCATTTTTTCTACTTATAAATTTTCGCGCAAATCATACAGTACTACAAAAATGCTTTCGGACGAACATACATTCAAGAAAAGCAGACACATTGCAGACACTAATAATTTAATCTTAAGGTGGAGATGTTACGACTAGATATTTTACAGCGAGCTTTCAAGCAATTGCACGCAGATTTACAGTTAATTACGGCTATTATTTTACTGGCGTGCAAATTTAAAACAGGGGTGCCAGCTTATTGAAAAAAAGAAGCCAAACATTGCTTTAGTCGGTCGAACACTGTTTATACGGAAGAAAACTACCTATTTGAGTTTTTCGTCCCATTGGTCCTCGGACCCAATTTTATGCCGCTCGTGCCAAAACTTCATGTGGCGTAAATTGAGCTTAATTTTGTGCCTGTAGACTAACGGTTTTTTCGCCATATTTCCAGCAGTGAACTTTAAGTCAATGAAACGGCAATGTTATGTTTAGGAACTCGCACTGCATTACTTGCTGCTATGCTGTGATTTTATATAATTTAGACACATCTGTAAATACGCTATTAACTTTGGCTGCTAATATCGTAAATTTTTAGGTATCTTGATGATTCATGTAATTTGAGGTGTGAAAATTTAAAAGCTGAGCAATTAGCATTATTAAAGTGAAAACCTAAGCATGCTAGTTCACCTAAATATCAATTGGATCTGTTAATAGCAAGAAAAATTGTTAAAGTCTGATAGCAGCATAAGTATCAAGTATTTGAGTTATATGCTATCGGCCGCCGAAGAGGCTACCGACCATGTACGAATCCCTACGGTGCTGTCAACAACTAAATTAGACACGTTATGCAGATTTTAAACTTTATTCCTAGAATACTAAATTTATGGAGTATCTTTTTCTTTGGCAGGAAAATGCACAAATATCTCATGTATTCACGGCCACTGTTCTAACCCTAATGGCTCAGAAATTTGTCATTGTGATAAGGGTTTCAGATATAACGGACATGCTTGCAAAGGTAAATAATAAATGAATCTAAAAAATTTTTTTCACGTCTTATATGAAATATAAAACAAATTTAGCAAACAAGACGCGAGGCCTAAGACGTCACAAAAATAGGCTGGATACGCATTTATAGTTGTGGTTACGCTATATCAACGCCATATTTACGATGCCTTGGGTACAACGGGATGTTTGCAAAATTTCGCAAACACTCCGTATATTTCGCCAACAGATTTACTGTGTTATGTCAAATTTGATGGGACATTAAATATTTATTATGGCTACAAAAAAGCGGTTAAACTTCAATACAAAACAACGTTGGGGAAGAACGAAATAATGATATCAGTTGTTTCAGGATTTTTTGGTATATTCGAACTTTTCAATTATTCTGTTTACCAAAATGATACTTTAAAGGCTTTTTGCAGCTGCTGCAAAATACCTTAATCCATTCAGAATCATTACCAGAAATTGGTGACAAAATGGTGTTGCTTGTGCGCTAATTTGCATTTAATCCATACATAATGGCCTTCGAGTTTTACTATATAATACATTAGTGAAAATATAAAATGTCTTAACATCAGAGCCACAGACTTGGAGCAGTGTTTGCCAACCTCGAGATGGATAGAACAGCTGTTTAGAAACGTTTTGCTAAGAGAATATTTGTGACCTTCCACGGGAAAACGTACGTTAACGATATTTCGTTGAAACGGCAAAACGAACGGATAACGAACGGGTAGTGAACGATCTGTAATAACGTTTCAACGAACCCAAAAAACGTTTTGACGAATTCAGCTAAAAATGTGAACGTTTAAAGTCGAGAATACGAACGGATAAATAAACGTTCAATCTGAAGCCGTTTGAACGATTTATGTTTATGAACGGTTTTAACGAATTAGTCTGAACGCCTGTTGCGCGTATGATTGACGCAAGATATCATTGACTAATTAAAAGAATAGGAAATATTTTCAAACACGTAACATGTGTTGGCGCAAGTATGCGTGTACATATAAATAGCTACATCTTCATTTGAATGTTTAACTAAATTTATTAGCTAAACTACCTAAATCACATTATTTTATACTTTATATATATATATACACATTTGCATTTTGCATCAAAATTCGGGTTTATTAATCGTTAGAAAGCCTTCAGTTATTAGTACAAATTATCATCGTTACGTCAAATTAATCAATGCATCATCTGCAACTATACCCATCAAAATATTCAGCGCGTGTTTATTTGCAACAACGTAACAGATTTTGTAAATCTCTCCACGGACAAACTATATGTATGGGTGGTTAAGGACATATAAACACATCATGCATGCATCCGTTTTATTAACACGGCTCTAAACCGAGAGTAAACGAAGATTGCCATAAATGGCCTGGCTTCGATAATAATATCATAGGCAATGTCATTGGTCACCGTCTAAGTTTGGTTGAGTTTCTGCTACTGGATACATATTTTATGTTAAACTAAACACAAGAGATTCCATTGTACACTATTGCTTATACTCTTTGACGCGCAAACGACTAAATTAATTATCGCAAGGATCAAGTTGTTTACAGATGATAACCAGACATTAATAACAGTTATACAGAATATCGCATACGCAAAGCTCGTTTGTATACGAACCAGCGTAGTAACGTGTGCTTGCATGCTGTCAAAACTTATTTGGTATAAATAGCCTACTACATTAAATATCCCAACCATTTATGCACGTGAAAATCCACATTTCAATTTCAGCAATGCATTGCGCGGTAATAAAATATTTAAAATATAAGCTTGGATATTTACCTGGTGCTCACAATATGTTCCGTGCGGCAATAGCCTCTAGCTGCGGTCAAGCTTGCCGCGGAATGTCGCCTATACACAGTACTGTCAGTAGCAACTAAGGGCATCATTATACCTTAAGAATATTTAAAAATTTGATAATAATCTATTTTATCCACTGCATGCACCATCGCCATATTTTCTTCTTTTTCTTTTTCATGTAAGTGATATGTTTTGTAACCATACGATCACATATGCATGTGTTATGACTTATGAACCAGTATATCGCTAATTAATACTTGTGATATTAAATTAGCTAACTAAATTTCTGGTGGTCATATTCATCAGGAAATATATTATTTTCCCCAAATATTCGACCATCTACATAGGTAACTGTGTAAATACCTATGCTACCTGCATGAGCCTAACAATAGTGACCTAAAGAAATAGAACGCGCGTAAATTAATGGGATAATTTTCGAAATCTTCATTTCAAACCACCGCGGCAATCCGCAATCCCGAAGGTCCGAATTCAGTTCCGCCCTGCAAAACAACTTAATACTCAACCCCGGCAGCAAGAAAAGATTGCACAGTATTTTCACTAAAGCATATAGCAATAGCAGACGCCCATATAGAAACCGGGTTTTTAAATCACAAAGAGTGCAAATAATTTTTTCTGCAAAGCATATAGCAATGCTGCCGCCCATATAGAAACGACAATGCCAAATGCATGCACAGGGGAGTTTATACTCACCATTTTAAGAAACAAACGATCCTCAACATCTTCGAGACATCTACTTGTGACACAATTTGTGCCTCCTGCTTACAGTAAAATTAACTAATCAAGATTATTTAAGACATGCATGAAAGCATTAATCCATTTTGTCTGGCGAAATCTTTTTATATCATATAATTATATATATTTCGAGGTAGCATCTACCCCTTTTTTATGAAAAATGTCAGCAAAGTTTGTAAACAATTGTTGTTTCAATGTAAGTAAATGCATCCTATAAATTGTAACCACCACGGCCCAAGCTAACAACTTTTCTAACCTCAGCCAAGCCATTTTCAAGGTCTGGCAACCTTTCATGTCATGTTTATTCGGAATGATTGGATGATCATGGCCCAACTTGATTCCACCGG